GTGGAAAAACAAATGCAGACACATGGGAATATCGCTCAATGAATACAATCTATATTCTTTAAGTTTTGCAGATGATCAAGTAGTAATTGCACAGGACTATGATGACCTAGAGTACATGACACGAAAACTGATAGAGGAAGACGAGAAATGTGGTTTGGAAGTAAATCTTACTAAAACAGAATATATGACTATAGGAGGCGAACAGCAATCTCTCAAATTGAATAACGAACAAGAAATAAAACAATGTACTGAATACAAATATTTGGGCATGAAAATCTCACATGAGGGAACCCTAGACGAAGCAATTAAAGATCGGAATATACAAGGACGCAAGGCAATATCCCTACTAAATAGTGTACTGTGGGACCAAAATATCAACAAAACTAACAAAACTAGAATATACAACACCATAGTCAAAAGCATAGTCACATATAGCACAAAAGTCTGGCCACTAAAGAACAGAACCGCAAAAATGCTGGAAGCAACTGAAATGGATTTTTGGAGGAGATCGGCAGGCAGGTCAAAAATGGAAAGGATAACAAATCTGAGAATAAGGGAGATTATAGACGTAAAACACACAATAATAGATGATATAAGGGACAAACAGCGGATTTGGTTCGGACATGTACAAAGAATGGCAGATACAAGGATACCCAAGCAAATTATTGAGTGGAAGCCTGGGAGAAGAAGAAGACGCGGCAGTCCAAGAAAAAGCTGGAGAAGTGGAGTGGACGAAGAAATGAGAGATAGAGGCTTATAGAGGAGGATGCCTGGATTGATAGAGATGGTTGGAGATCGGGAATCGGAAGACGTAGAACGTGATAAACCGATGATTATATATATATATATTAGATTTATTGCGCACTGGTGCCACTCCTTGGGCGCGACTGAGTACTGAGTGTATTTCCAGCTTTTCCTCTAAGCCTGTTAAAGAAACAGATAGAAACACATTTTCTTTGCACTATTTCTACCAACTGGAAACGCCATATGTTGCAGAGTGTGAGTGTATGCGAAGAAATATTTAACTTTTAATATTAGTTTTGACTAGTTTTGAGCAAATTCAAATGCAACTTGACAAACAAAACATAATTATCTTAGAATGTTTGAAAGCCCCAAATGATGTGAAGAAGCTATATTCTTCAAAATTCTCCAAAATTCTCCAATGTTCCCGAATACTCTCCGAGAAAATTCTCTCAAAATAAATTCTCGAGAATTTGCCATCTCTAGTTTCACGTATAATTGTAAACGATCATGTTACTTATTGCTATAAAGTATTAAATGTTTCCTAGTTTGCTTTTTGTTTGAAATGAAAAAAACATCCGGAAACTCTTATTGGATGCAACGATAAGCCATGCGCTCTGTGAGAACTTGGGTGGGGCATTCACTTTATATACTTAGGTATATAAATAGGTAATTTTAGCAATAAAAGTCACATAAATACAAAATTTTTAATAGCATCGGTGTATATGAATTGAAAATTGAATATACGGAAAACTTCAATTGAAGGACGACAACGCTGTAATTAAATAAATAACTGAAATAACCTATAAGCACATTTTTTCACGGAAATCCTAATCGTTAACAAAGTTATGAGATGCTCATTTGCCCATGCTCAGAATAAAGAAAGAGCCTTAACAAAGTGAGGTTTTGATTCTCTCCAGAGGCTCCTTATTGAGTCCTTATTCTTGAAATAGGGGAACAGATTTCTCAAGAGAAAGAGTGTTCTGTCTTTGTTACTTACTATCATATGTTTGAAGAATAGGGACCTAGAAGATAAAAGTGGGTGTATCTGCCCCTGCCCATCGAAAGGCCTTGAGGTTGTTCTCAGACACCCAAAAATAGCAGAAATGTTCGTACATAAAGTCGCATAACCTACTTAAAGCAACGGTGCCAGTGCAGACAAATAATATTAAACCAGCTGTAATTTCACTTTCCTATAAGGTCAGTTTTGGTTATGCAACCGCGGTTGTAATATATTTTTGATATTGCAGACTTAACTGTCGCGGTAATAAATTTAAATACGTGTTTTCGTTGCATGATATAGGAAAAGTGAACAGTACTTATTGAATTGATCACTTTATATTTTGTACTTTTTGACTTTAATGTTTTGCTTTTCTTACTTTTTCAATAGTTTTATAGAAAATTATTGATCCTTTTTTTGAACAGTTTGACTTATTGAGCTTACTTATTTTTAGTATTCATCAAAGCATTTCCTAATACCCTCTGCTGGTAAATATACCATATTTGTTCAAAAATGATACGTTTTTGCGCAATTAGTAACATGAAAGTATTGTAATTTTATAGCGGTATTGTTCAAGGAAAAACAACTATTCTGTAATAGAACATTATATCACTCATTGACCCCAGCGAGTAGAAAAATGCGTGGCTTTTGGGGTGACTACAATGTTTAACCTTCTGTAGTGATATGCTCATTTATCACTTTCAACACTTCCAAATCATTTCCAATTATCAATTATTTTTTTGTTAATTTACTTCTCAATTTTGTGTGTAGACTTTCTTTAATATTTTGCTCGTAGGCATGAGAAACACCATCATACATATACTAATAAAGTACCTCATTAGTTACTATAGATTTTATAACGGTTCCTAACGACCAATCTACAATAACGAATATCGGATTTAATGATGCCATGTACATGAAATTAAAGTTAATGTTCCCTAAAAAAACATCATAATTATTATACAAAAACTTGCCGCCTATAGGGAAATTATACTGACATCTTTTGACGTAAACTTTAATTGAGATTAAGCACTTATACGGCTCAGCAACATCGGACAACACCGTTTTAATGATAAGTCTTTTAGGAAAGACTTGTAATATGATTATGGCTTGAAATTCATGAAATGTATACTTTCTTAACAAAGGCGTACCTAGAGAATTTCTTCGTAGCAAGACTATCAGACTAGTCGATCTCTTGGTGGAGCGTGAGCGTCCTTCCATATTATAAAGAGAACCCGAGGAATTCTATAAAATTGTTCTGCCTGGTTGCGAAACCGGTCTGAACTTCGGTGCAATGTTCTTGAAGAAAAGGCTTTTAGACTTGCACTATGATGGTTGTAGTGTATGTGAAGCTTTGATGGCAAGATGAACTTTTAGAGTCTTATTTGTAATTTTTAAAAAATAATTCAAAAAAAATATACAGTAGGAATGTATGTACTGTTGCCGGCTTGTCAAGTCAAATAGATTTTAAAACCATTCTCTGCTGAAGGTTCAGAAAAGAAACTGTTTTATTTTATTGAATCCTACGCCGGCTCCCTCCCAACTTGACAATCTAAGAAAAAAAAACATAATTCCATAATATTGATGAAAAAGTGAACGTGGACCAATAAAAACCTCCATATCATATTATATTGTAACGAAAGTGAATGGCCAGTTCCAAGTCCGGATCAAAAATAATAGTTGTTTGAAATATGAGATAAATTGTGAAATAAATAATACAATAAAGATCTTACTTTATATATAAACTGGATATACCTATATACAGTTGAAATTATATATATTCTGCTATAAAAGCTATATATAATGCGCCAGAATAGCTCAAATTACAGAAAAAAAAATCACCAATATTCATGTAATGACATAACTGGTAAATTACATTATATTATTATACCTATTATGGTAATTAAATTTTAAATAAATTCAAGGCTTTGTCCTATTTTTTCAATGGTTGATTGAATACAGTGTAGATAATTCGTTTTGCACTGTGTGATTTAATGACCGCGGTGCTAAACCTTGTAAACTAAACATTAAGTTTTACTCTTGTGTACGGCTATTGGTTTCATTATTTTCAAACAATTCAAATGATTCACTTTCTATTGAGACTTAAACCAGAATCGGGCGTGGTAATAATCCTCTTAGGGAATTTTTGTGACATTTTGTGAAAAGTGGTCTTAAAACACAATTGAACTTTCAGATTTAACTTCATTATATAACACATAAGCTCTATTAACAATTGAAAATATATTGACAACATCCACCGATTAAAAAACTACTTAAGATTGAAATTAGATGAATGACAGAAGAAAATAAATATCTGCATAAAATTCATCTAAGTCAAGTCAGTAAGCATACTCCATCTTATTTGCCTACACATATTTTCAAAAATGATTGGGTCATTACGTGCTTGCATAAAATACTTGTTCAATTATTGTAAATTTTTATAATTTTGTATCCGTTTTTTAATTAGACAAGGAAATTAGGCGATTACCGTATAATTTATCATATATGTATATGAACACAGTCATTAAGTCTTCAGCTTATAAACTATAAAGTCCGGAAAATCAAAAGTCATTAAAGAACTGGTTTTCAGATTGTATTAATCAAGGAATGTATTTTGTTTTTTTCAGCTAGACAATTTTCGGAATGCACACGTGTTATTGATAACACCCCGAGGTGAACATCTGATGTGAACACTCTTGATAGGAGACTGAAGTAATCATTCCATAATCATGACTTTGAAATAACAGTATATAACTGTTATATGCAAAGGAGAAAGTGACTGTACTAGCTATTACTATGGAAAGATTCATATTAGTCTTCAGAAAACAACTTAATTTCATAAACCTTCAGAGAACATGCGTTCAATTGTTTTAAATATTTCCTAACTATTTTGGACTTTTGGAAAAAAAAAATTGAAATTCAAAATAGTTATTATTTTCTTAAACGGAACAAATCTGAAGTGACATTTTTAAAATTACTCATTTTGCCTTAAAGGTGTCCACTGACATCACGCAGGCCTGAGAAAGTCCTTCCACATCCTCTCACAAAGCCAACGCGCCGGTAAAACATCATAAGCAACCATGCCCTAGCCGGGATTCGAACCCGGGACCCGCAGCATGCGAAGCAGATACACTAACCACTACACTGCCTAGGTCGGCTGCCTTAAAGGTGTACTCAGACCCGATTCAAAAGATTCAGAAAGCCTAATTATACGTTAAACCTTCGACCATTTTATTTCTACATTCAAAAAAATACTTACCAATTCCGTGCTCATAGTATTACAGCCTCTGAGCGGCAATGTATAAGTTATAGGCGATTTCCGTTGTACCCATTCACTGAGACAATGGGTGTTTTTCGATAATCCTCTGGGATAAACCATCCCGTTGAACCTGCCGGACCTAGTGCCAATATTGACAACAATTTCGTCGCTGTTACAGTCAACACGAACGTCGGCGTCTGCTACTTCGGTTGTTAAGGAATTGTCTTCGTCAACTAGAAAGAGAACAAGAATGAGTTGGTAATTGAAAATTCTTTGTTCGCATACTTTAGGCCAGTTTGGAACAAACCTAATTTGTAATATAATTTAAAACAGGGACGCAACTAGAGCCTTCGGCGCCCAAGGCCAATAAAATTTTTGATTCAACAAAAATAAGCCAATGTATAAAGACATGGAATGATCGATATTTTATAATTCCCGGCTCTTGTAGGAAATCTTCCACGAAAGCTGATAATTGAAAACAATTCCACCACTGTGTAGAGATACGGGATGATCAATATTTTATTATCCCCGGCTTTTAATGTAGAAAATCTTTCACGAGAGCCGGTAATAGAAAACAATTTTACCCACTGTAATTTGACTCAACAAAAATAAGCCACTGTATAAAAATACAGAGTGATCAATATTTTATTATTCCCGGCTCTTGTAGTGAATCTTTCAAGGAAGCTGGTAATCGATAACAATTCCACCACTGTGTAGAGATACGGGGTGATCAATATTTTATTATCCCCGGCTTTTAATGTAGAAAATCTTTCACGAGAGCCGGTAATAGAAAACAATTTTACCCACTGTAATTTGACTCAACAAAAATAAGCCTCTGTATAAAAATACAGAGTGATCAATATTTTATTATCCCCGGCTCTTGATGAAGAAAATGTTTCACGAGGGCCGGTAATAGAAATCAATTCTACCCACCGTAATTTGATTCAACAAAAATAAGCCACTGTATAAAGATACAGAGTGATCAATATTTTATTAATCCTGGCTCTTGTAGTAAATCTTTCAAGAAAGCTGGTAATCGAAAACAATTCCACCACTGTGTAGAGATACAGTTTTATACACTGTAATTTGATTCAACGAAACACTTAACATTTCAAGTAACTTGTCAACAAGACATTCCGGAAGAAGTAGGAAGGGTTCTGGCTTTGAGCCCAAAATTTGGTTTACCACTCTTACTTTCAGAGATTCTCGACCATAATGAGAGACTTAGAATACTACATTACCAATGAACCAATGAGTGAAGAAAAGTGAAATGAAACTAGAGCTAGAACCACAAACGTCTTGACCATTTATCGGTTCCCCAAGCCATTTAAGAAACTCAACGACTTAAAAATCACCAAGCCTTTCTTAAAAAACAATGGTGACCTTATAGTGAGAAGATCTGACAAAGGAAATGCGACTGTTATCATAGAAAAGGATGCATGTGAAGACAAGTTACTTGAAATGTTAAGCGACACTGAAGTCTACAAAAGTACTAGCAGGGATTCAACAAGAAAATACCAAGACAAGGCCAACGGCTTTGTCAAAATACTGAAAAAAAATAGAACATATTATAAGTGACAGACAAGAGAAGAAAATGAAAATTCACAACTCAGTGTCACCAAAAATCTATATGGGTTGAGAAAAACTCACAAACAGACTTTTAGTTTAAGACCTATCGTCAGCCGGTAATAGAAAACAATTTTACCCACTGTAATTTGACTTAACAAAAATAAGCCACTGTATAAAAATACAGAGTGATCAATATTTTATTATTCCCGGCTCTTGTAGTGAATCTTTCAAGGAAGCTGGTAATCGATAACAATTCCACCACTGTGTAGAGATACGGGGTGATTAATATTTAATTATCCCCGGCTCTCAATGTAGAAAATTTTTCATGAGAACCGGTAATAGAAAACTATTTTACCCACTATAATTTGACTTAACAAAAATAAGCCACCGTATAAAGATACAGAGTGATCAATATTTCATTATTCCCGGCTCTTGTAGGAAATCTTCCAGAAAAGCTGGTAATCGATAACAATTCCACCACTGTGTAGAGATACGGTTTCATCCACTGTAATTTGATTCAACAAAAATAGGTCACTACATAAAGATACAGATTGTGTTACGATAAATTTGTCATTTACGTAACATGTTCCATCTCTTCTTATTTTCATTATAAAGTAGTATTTTTTCCATTTCAGAATCATCCAAATAATCTCCTCAAATTCAAATTCAAATTTAAATTTAAATTCAAATAATACAAGTGCTGCCATCTATCTATCATGTCCGTAAAGTGCGGATATCTTACCGGTACTGCCATCTAGTGCCCGATGGTTTATTTTTCAAAGCATGATTTTTGGTTAATTCGCATTTGACAGTCATTTGTATTTTCATTGAAAGAAGTTATATTTATCTCACTTTTAGCAAATGGATATATTTCTGTCCTTTTTTAACTTCTGATTCTGAAATAATCATTTTTTGGCTTAATGATCTAATTAATTAACAGTTTTTTTATTTTTGACATAACCTTAATTTAAATTATTATAATTTGTAAACAATTGAAATAATTTTAGTAGATTTTTATCCATTCTCTTTTATGCTATGCGGTCTTTCATTGTGTTTTCATTTTGAAGTGAATATGGTCTTTTGGGTGTACTCGTCTGGTTGAAGCTGGTTGGAATGCAGTAAGTATAAAAAACACGGGATCGTTTTTCTGCTGGCTGTGGTTTCTAAAACGCTCTCTATCCTTGAAAAATAGTCTGGCAGACAAAATAATTTTGTGCTTTAAATTTCTGGATCCTCCCCTATAGATTTTTCAATATTCAAATTATCATATCTTTATTAAGTTTTTACCTGATAAATCTTATCTTATCTGTTTTTGAAATATAAATATTATATTTTAAGTTTTTTTTATCTAATTGTTGGCTTCCATTTTGAATTGCTTATTAGTTAGTCCACGTTTTGTTATAAGAGGTAAGTCAACACAGATTTTTGGATTTTAAATAGGTACTGCTGCCCTGGCTTTCAGAATCAATTTTTAGTGTGGGAATATTGGACCATTTGCTCTAAATAGAGTCGGTGAGAACCAAATTTGTGAGTGCATCCCCATTAACTCTTTATTGAATCCAGGCAGAGGCCTGAACAACTATTTTCTGTTTCTGAAATCTTGTTATTATTTTATTTTACTATTATCATTACCTATCTTATCATTATTCTTAATTATTCAATTATTTTTTTTTTTTAGTTAAAATATTATTAATTTTTTCTACTTGCAATAGTTTTTATACCTGATTCTGTTGAAAGGAGTGTCTGTGCAACAATCATTTTATACTAAATTTCAATTTCAATTTCCTATGCAAGACACTCACTTTTTGACAGAATTCAGAAATTAAATGTTCCAAATATTGGTGAACCTGATACTGCCTTATTCTTTTCTGGGTACCTACTCTACATAAAGATCACTGTTTGGAGTCTGGATCAGCTGGAGTGACGTCACCCCAGCAATCTATCCTCTTCTTGGAAACAGGAAACCTCACGAAGAGCTCCAGTTCACGAAAGTGAAACCCCAACACACATTGAAGAGCTCCAGATTGAAAAGGTATATGGTGTCAGATTCACCAGAACAACCAAGCTGTCAACTGTAAAATTTTACAATTTTACAGAACTTGCATTTACTACATAACATTGTAAATTACACTAAATAAAATTATTGTTTGTTGGATTTTGAGTGGTTTCATTTGCACATAAAGGGACTACACGTTATCTTAATTTTTCTTTGAATTCACGACCCTAGGTTATCTTTTTCTGAAAGTATACAAATTCCACAAAATTATTTGTAACAAGTGATCGATATTTTATTATTCCCGGCTCTTGTGGGAGATCTTTCAAGAAAGCCAGTAGTCGATAACAATTCCACCACTGTGTTCAGATATGGGGTGATCAATATTTTATTATCCCCGGCTCTCAATGTAGAAAATTTTCCACGAGAGCCGGTAATAGAAAACAATTCTATTAACTGTAATTTGACTCATTTTAGGTTGTATAATCATTTTATTTGGTGGTGAGGTGGCGCCTCGGTAATTTTGCACCCTATAGGCTCGCGCTTAGTTCGCCAGCCCCTAGTTGCGGATACTTTTCTGGTTCTGTTCATTACTTCAGCATCTCAGCTATCATTGTTCAACAATAGTTTTCACAGAAAAATTGCACCCGTCACTGGGTTCCCTTGCTTGGGATAAAATAGGTAAATCTATAGAATGTGCAAATTAGATGAGTTTAAAATCGAAAGTTGAGGCATTATCATACTGTTTGTGTTGAGACTTTGAACTAAATATTTGAAAGTTTTAGAATCAGAATTTTCATACCCCGGATTAACATCTCCTCTATTGGCCAGATGCTTCAGGAATCCTAATCAGGATTAGCTTCAATTATAAGTCATGCCTTGAACTTTTTACATGGCTTTTTGAATAAAACTGATCTAGGAGGAGAACGCCCGGAAGAAATGGATTTGCCCAACCCTCTCGTGAGGGGTTTAGTCAATAGAGGTTTAGTGAAATGAACGAAGTCAGCTTCAAATAAAACTATTTCTGACTTATTTATCTCGAGTCCTTTGAATTTTGAAATGATTGATTTCCAAATCATTCCGTTAAAGAACTCAACTAGTCAGTAGGGAAACATTTTAATGTAACAAATATGAGAACAAATCTAAGACAACCATTGAAGATCGGAACATGGAATATAAGAAGCTTATTCGAAGCTGGGAAACTGGCAAACGTCACACGAGAAATGAGCAGACTCAAACTGGATATCCTAGGTGTTGCTGAAACCTGGTGGCCTGGTGTGGGAAAGTGTAACGTGAATAACGGAGTATTCTTCTACTAATGACGATCCAAAACATAAGAAAAGGTGTGGGAATTGTTATAATAAAAGGACTACTGAAATCTGTCGTGGACTTTGTTCCATACTCAAACCGCACTGCTTTATTGAAACTCAGAGCCAAGCTAAGTGATTTTGATATAATACAGGTATACGCACCAACTGCGGACTCGTTGGTCCATGATGTGGAGAAGAAATTTTATGATGAAGTCAAGGAATTGCTAAAACTGACTAAAAAACATGACGTCAACATAGGGTGACTTCAATGCCAAAATAGGAAAGGTTGAATTTGAGGAGTTAGTTGGATCGTATGGTCTTGGAGAAAGGAACGAGAGGGGTGATCGAATCTTACAATTCT